TGATGCACTACTTCGCACTCCGTTTTCGCAGCTGCCGCTGGAACAAAAATTAGAGGTACAACGTCTTGGGCCTTATCAACCAAAAAATTGTTCACTGGAACAATCCCATGACGGAGGAAAGCGTCGGCGTACATTCTGCGCAGAAACTTGGTATAAAAAACACGAATGGTTGTGTTACAGCGAGGACAAAAATGCACTTTTTTGTTTTTATTGCCTACTTTTTGCTACCGCCCGTGACTCACGTTGGTGTAAATTTGGTTTTAGAGATCTTAAACATTTTTCCGAGCGTGCCAGGGAGCATCAATCTTCTATGGAGCAACTGGACAATGCAGTAAAATACCGAACATCCGGAAATGTTAATATTGCAGCACAGTTGGATGAAGGACGCGCGGTTTCTATTCGTCGGCGCAACCAAAACGTCGAGAAAAACCGCCATGTTCTCGGTCGATTGATAGATTTTTTGAAGTTAATTGGTTGTCACGAGCTGTCCCTCCGTGGGCACGATGAACGGGCTGGCTCTTCTAATAGAGGGGTATTTTTGGATATGGTGAAATACACCGCATCCCTAGATACAGTATTGAGAGATCATCTTGATGCCGCAACTGTTTCGAAAGGGACATCTAAGGATATCCAAAATGATTTGCTCGACTCCATGTATAAAATTTATTTACAACATTTGGCTCTGGAAATTGAGAATTGCCAGTTCCTTTCGATTCAGTCTGACGGGACAACTGACATCACGTGCGTTTCCCAACTGGCTGTGATTTTTCGGTTTGTGGAAGATGGTAAACCTACCGAGAGATTTCACAGCTTTGTACCAATCGTTAATCGCACGGCTTGCGGGATATCGGCTGTACTGAAAGAAGTGTTACAGCCTTACAAATCGAAGTCAAAATTGATAGCTCAAACTTATGACGGCGCGGTAGTCATGAGTGGGTCGAAACATGGTGTTCAAGTTTATATAAAAGAAGATTTTCCTCATGCGCATTTTTTACATTGTTATGCACACAAATTTAACCTCGTTATTAAAAATATGTGTCTTGATACCCCTCTCGTCCGTATATTTTTTGCAAATGTTTCGGGGTTTTCTTCATTTTTTTCCGTTTCGCCGAAGCGCTCTGACCTCCTTCGCCAGATATGTAGCCGCCGTCTCCCAGCTTGTGCACCAACACGTTGGAACTTCCAATCACGCGTGGTGCAGGGCGTGTCCGAAATTAGGTCTGAGCTCATTGAGTGTTTCAATGGCATTCAGAGCTCTCCGGTTTGGGACGAACGCTCTGTGAGGGAGGCGGCAGGTCTAAATCGTCTGCTAGAAGATGGTGAGTTTTCATTTTTTCTCGCTTTTTTCTCCACAATATTCTATCACGTGGATGTAATATACGGCGCATTGCAGTCAAGGCTAATGGATGGAGCGTCTGTGCAGTCGTGTATTCCAGACTTCTGCGATGCTGTATCTCGTATCCGGGAAACAATAAAATACGACGACACATGGAGTGCTTCTTTACGCCGCGGGCAAACAACGCAGCGTTTGATTTTGTCTGCAAAGGAATGCTGTGACATTCTGGTGAATCAAATAGGCGATCGTCTGCGCACTGAACACCTTGCCGCGTTCTCTTTGATGAACCCCACAAATTTTTCAAAATTTGCACGTTAATTTCCCATCCATTTGTTGGCTACTGTATCCAAATTTTACCCCATGATAAACGTGGGTAAATTGGAAAATGAATTGCGATGTATATACACCAATCAAACTTTTTTGAACATCACATCAACTTGCGCGCTCTATGGGTTCCTCATAGATAACACTCTAGTAACTACCTTTGCGGCGTCTGCAAAATTTCTGGACATCATTTTGACGACGTCTATTTCTTCCGCCGACGCAGAGCGAACATTCAGCACGCTGAAGCGTATTAAAACGTATCTCAGAAACACAATGAAGCAAGATAGATTAAATTCCTTGACTGTTTTATCCATTCACAGAGACGTTATTTCTGGGATGCATGACTTTAATCAGCGCGTTATTGAGCATTTTGCTTCCAAGAAACCGCGGCGTGTTGCATATATGTTCAAGCAGTAGAAGTCTAGCAGCATATATATCTATGAGTGAGCGACGCATGTCCTTATCTTTGCATTAACTTTCCTTTCTTCATAGTAACGTTTTGAACCTTATTTTAGGTTTTGTCTGCTTTCCCGAAGTTTCTGTTAATATGTCTTTGTATTTATCTGGGTAAATATTGCCTTTCCTTTTGAAAGAGGTTTCAAAATAAACTATGTCTATATTTATTAATCCCTTGACTTGGACCGGTTTTAAAGACACTTTCTTATCGTTAAAAATTGTCGCTTTTGCCGATTGGTTGTTACCGATTGAATGGTTTTTATACTCATAAAATGATGGGAGAACTTACAGCGCTCATCCTGTCCCCGTAGATGGGGGTGACTTGGTCTCGCAGTAGCTTGCCCCGGTTGTCAAAATGACCACGCGCCGCCACTGCTGTTGGCCACAAATGTCTTGAAGCGTTCAGAACGATTATTGATCATCTGGATAACTGACATGGAATCTGACCAATATATAACGCTGTCAACTTTGTAGTCCAGTTCTTGTAAGATTAAATTGGCAAGTTCAGCCGCCACAACTGCAGCGGTGAGTTCCAGTCGTGGAATAGTCAGTGGCTGCTTAGGAGTTACTCTAGCGACTCCCATGACAAAGGAACAATGAACTTCACCTTTGTCGCAAGTAAGTCGTAAGTAAGCTGATGTTCCATAGCCAGATGTGCTGGCATCACAAAATCAATGTAATTGGATATTGTTGCTTTTGAACTCTTGTGGTTTGTAACATCGAGGGATCGCCAGGCATTCAATGCATGTAATTTATTGATCCATTTTTCCCAACGGTCCTTCAGTGAACCAGTAATGGGGTCATCCCATGAGTATTCTTCAATACAAAGATCCTGTAGAATTCGCTTGGCAGTTAAGATGAATGGTTGAACAAAACCCAAAGGATCGAAGATTTGCCTCATCATTGAAAGAATGCCTCTTTGAATGAGCGCCTTCGGTTCAATGTTGACTACAAATTCATCAGTGTGCATGTTCCACTGTACACCTAGAGTTCGACTGAGTTAGTTACTTTCAAGATTGAGATCTATAATTGCAGGAGCACGATCACTTTCTGGAACTGATTGCAGAACATTGATATCATTGCTCATAAATTTGGTGAGATGAAATCCTCCAGTTGTCAACAATTCAATGAGCTGTTTGATTAGTCTTACAGCATCTGATGGATCATCGACAGATTTCAGTCCATCATCGACATAAAAATTACGCATAACTGTGCGTACTGTCATTTCATCTGCATTCGACAGATTGTCTGTGGCTACTTTGTGTAGCGCAAATGTGGCAACAGAAGGTGATGAAGTGTTCCCAAAGTTGTGGGACAACATTTTAAATTCAATGGGAACACTATCCAAATTATGGTCCTTCCACCATAGGAACCACTGAGCATATGTGTCGTCAGCCGAGACTTTAATTCTGTGAAACATTTCTTTTACGTCACAAACAAATGCAGTCAATTCTTGCCTGAATCGAATAAGCACTCCTGATAGCATGTTATTGTTGTCAGGACCAGAAAGCAAATTTTTATTCAATGAAGTTCCTTTACACTCAGCAAAACTGTAAAAAACAACTCTAAATTTAGATTGGTGTGTGGCATAATGTGGAATATACCATGTTTTATTTGTGAGTGTGAGTGCATGTGATGGGATTACTTCGGCATAACCATTCTGAATATGACCCTCAATTTTATCTCTATATTTCTGAAATAATTCTGGGTCCCCCATAAATTTACGTTTTAGATACAAAAGTCGCTTTTCAGCAATTCTACGGTTATAGGGAAGGCTAACAGTGTCTGACTTCCATGGAAGTCCAATTTGAAACCGACCATCAACCTTGGTCACAGTTTGGTTCATAAAATCAAGTGCCCTTCTATCATCTTGCGATGGCTGAGTAATACATGGGTTAGCATTGACATCAGCAAAATCATGAGCACACATATGACAAATAGGTTCATTAAAACAAGAAAATTCAGTAAAATTACAATCAAATGGTTGTACAGTATTCAAATATTTGACCTCTGCATTGGTCTCGGCCATGCTTACATCTGGGCCAGTGAGGGCCCAACCTAGGATGATGTGTAATGCAGTGGGGGATCCAGCTACACCCACCCGGGTTTCAGTAATTGGGTAACAACCCAGGACATCAGCCCCAATAAGCAAATCAATAGGTTCATCCAATAGGGGAAAATCTAGGTCCCGTAGGTGAGAATAACGTAGTGTGGCCTCAGTGTTTGGTATTGAATCTCGTACATCAGGTATCGAGTTCACCAGGGCATGGTGAACATTAACGATCTGTGGTTCATGGACACCCCTAATAGTAAAGGAAACTTTCATGCCATCATGACGTTTTGGACCAGTGGCAGTCCGTATTGTACATATCTCTGGCTCCCCATTGAGAGCCAAATCCCTAGCTAATTTAGTGGAACACAAGGATCTACTTGCCCCTTAATCTAGGAAGGCAAATGTCAATGACTTATTGTTCGAATCACAAACTTTCACCTCAACAGGGACAACCATGAGCCTAACAAAACAATCAGTTTCACAAATGTTGACAACATTGGCAAAATGAGAATTTACATTTGTTGAATTGACCTTACTATTAGTGTCCGTGGTTATATTTCCGGTCACAGGTGATCGTTGCCTGGTTGGCATTTCATTCTGTCGAAGTAGTGTGTGATGCTTCCGCGTACACCCATCAGCTTGGCAACGTTTCTGAGACGGACATTCCTTGACGATGTGTCTGGATCTCATGCAGTTGAAGCACAAATTGTCCTCTCGAATGAAATCACGAAGATGTTGCAGGCCATATTTTTTGAGTGTTGCGCAACGATATAAACGGTGATCGTTCTTGCAACATAAACATAAAGTTTGTGGGTGCTTTTAGCTAGCACCATGAGCTTGTTGTCTTCTATTGTGAAGCGTTGGTCTGTAAGCAGGTGATGAATTCCTCTTCTGTGATGTTGAAGAACTGATTGTAGAATATGCAGACATTTACCCAAAGCGAGGTTTAAAATTTTGTACTGCTCTTGTCTTGTTGTCACTTTCTGCCATTAAACGTCCATATAAATTATTACTGAGATGGGCTCTCAGTTCAACAAATTCCAATAAATGAGTGAATGAAGGAATCGGATGATTCCTCCAAGAAGTGTCATGTACATAATGCTTGTAATGTTGGTTGCAGACGACGAAATATATCTTTGAGATAAGCTTGTGCATCCAGCATTTGTTCAGCTTTCCACTGTGTCATAATAATAAAACAGTTTCTCATC